GTGGTCTCAAGGTCCACAGGGTGTGAGGGGGCAGCACAAGAGTTTAGGCTGCATCAAGGAGGGTCCCACTGGGTCACAAGAACCAGCATGGAGGTTATTTGCAGTAGCTTGGGGCCAGGCCCAGCTAGGGCTCAGCAGACCAGGTCTATGGCTCAAGCATTTCTTATACCTGGAGCCGAGCTTATGGCTGACTGCCTGTGAACCCCCGGGTTCTCTGCAAATCCCCGTTCAATTCCTAGCCCTGCCCTCCTTAAACCCTTACTATTATTACTCACTTTAAGCTATCATTTCTCTCTGTGGAGTCCTAATCCTCTTTGAAATGATATATTTATACTCCAACAGCTCAGCATATTAATGGGGCAGGTCATGGTCAAGTGACCCACATGAAAAGCCTGTTGAATTTTAGATTCTTTAGCCAGAGTCTAAATTAAGTTATATCTCATTCATACAATTTCTTAATGTCCTTTAATCACTCCTCAATTTTGCTTAAATATCCATAAATACGAAGAGATGGTCAGGGATGACACCATCTTCACACTGAGCCAGTTGAGTCACTGTTGGTTCAGAGCCACAGCCACTGATGGGCACATGCCTTCAGGTGTGATGAGCTGGAGGAAGGTGGAAATCACTGAGCAGGATCTTCAAGGCCTCTTCTAGTTCTAAAGGCCCATTATCTTTCACATCGGTACATACCTGCTAACCCAGGCACTCAAAGGAGTCAAGAGGAGTTGTCTTGCAAAATTAAGGACTAATAGCTCCCATTAATTCAGCACTCACTGTGTGTCATGCACTTTGCTCAGTTACTCAACAAGTGTTTGAGTTTCTTGTATGTGCCAAGCACTGTCCTAGGCATGGGGAATTCCATGGTGTACGGGGTGAGTCCCCCTCCTCAAGCATCTTAGACTCTATGGGGAGGACATAATAAGGAAAAAAATAAGATAGTTTCAGCTTTAGTTAAACACTATGAAGAAAATGAAGTAAGATAATGTCAGGAATTCCTTGAGGGGAGAAGGTCAAGGAGGGCAGCCACGTGAAGACCTGAGGGGGAGAGCAGTCCGAGCAGCAGGACCAGTCAGTGCTAAGACCCAGTGAGGCTTGGGGGTGTCAGCGGACAAGGACAGAGGAAACATTGACCCCCAGCAGGCAGGGGCAGATGATATAATGCATCATGGCCATGGGGAGCAGTATGGGTTTTATTCTGAGTGCAATGGGAAGCCATTGGAGGGTTTGGAGCAGACAAGTGATAGGATCTGATTTATGCCTTAGAACACACTACTCTGGCTGCTGGGTAGGGGCTGTGAGGAGGGGGTTGTTAGGAGGGGGCAGGAAGACTGGTTAGGGCCTTCTGCAGTGGCCAGGTGAGAGGATATGGCCTGGACTGGAGTTGTAGTGGAGGTGATGAAAAGTGGTTGATTCAGAATAGTTTAGAGGTGGAGCTGATGGAATGACCTACTAATAGATCGAAATGAGACCTAGACGTCAAGAATGACATCTAGGTTTTGGCCTAAGCAACTGGGTAAATGGTGATGCCATTGCTGCAGTTGAGAAGGGATTTGGGAAGAAAATCAGTAGTTTGGTCTTGGCCTTGCTAAGTTTGCCATCTGAGGATCGATGTCCAGTAGGCGGCTGAGTTCATGATTCTGAGTTCTGGAGAGAGTCCAGGCTGAAGATGTAAGTGTGGAAGCTGTCAGCCTACAACTGGTATGTAATGTTGGGGATGGGGAGAATGTGGGTAGATGAGAAGAGTACCAAGAACAAGCCTGGGAAGCCCCAAGCATGTAGAGATTTGGTAAAATGGAGGCGATGAGCCATCAGTGAGGTTGGAGTGAAACCAGACAAGTGTGGGTCCTTGAAACCTGAGTATTTGGAGGAAGAATTCACTTGGCGAACCATGATGAATCTGCTGACAAGCTGAGTAACGAAAGCAGGTCATTGGTGACCCCGGTACAAGCCTTGTCCATGGAGTGATGGGGACGAGCATCCAATTGGAGTAAGTTGAGGCAAGAATAAGAGAGATGAGGACACAAGACAGGTTTGAGAATGGTCAGTTATTTATTGTTACCCTAGAAAAATACCCGGATTTAGTAGCTTAAAGCGAAGACAACATTTACTTTGCACACAAATCTGCAATTTGGTCAGGGCTCTGCGGGGACATTGTCTGCTCCATTTGGTATCAACTGGGGTGTCTGGGAGGCTGGGCCTGGAGTCACTCACTCACCCACAAGTCTGATGGTGGAGCCTGGCTGACAGCCGGAATCCCTGAATGTGCCTGAGTTTCCTGACAACATGGCGTCTGGGTTCTGAGGGCAAGTCCCGAGAGAGCCAGGCCTAGACCCTATCACCTTTGATGACCTAGCCTTGGAAGTCACATGGTGTCCCTCTGCCCGTCCTCTTCAATGAGGTAGCCACAAAGTGCCATTGGGTTGAAGAGAAGAAGTAGACTGCCCCTTGGTGGGAGGAACACGTGACACCAGATCTGTTGCCGTGCCGTTTTTGGAAAACAGATCTGCCACAGAGGGTTTTGTTGTAAGAGAAGCCAAAATTAGGACAGCGGATGGAGGGGATGGCGGGCAGGGCCAGTGGATCCAGGGATCCAGAGTGCCGAGGGACCACAATATTTTAAATTTCTTTTTAAGTGTTGTAATTTCTTTCAAAATCAGAAGGATGAATTTAATCTAGTCTGGGCTAGACTGGGTTATATTCATCTTTATACCAATGAGTGATAAAATATTTTAAATATTTACGTATGTAATACTTATTTATTCCATATTTATCTTGTGACCCATGAAGGTAACGTGCGTAGGCCCATGCAGGTGGTAATGGGACCCTGAATGTGGCGTCAGGGCAGGATTTTTGTTGTTTGACTTTGTTTTATTAATGGTGATATTAAAGCTTGTCTTCAGATGGGTGTGATCCATCAGAGAAGGAAAATCAGGATGCAGAAAGAGAAAGGAATCGTTGTGGGGAGGAAGTGCGGAGAGCTGAGCCTAGAAAACAAGTGGAGGACCTGGCAGGCGAGAAGCGGGGAAGGGACGCCGCTTCCGCTGAACCAGGACGAGGCAGAGCACGCGGTTCAGATGCAGGGAGTGTGTCCGGTGGGAAAGATGAGGTGGCTGTCTGATGTGTCTGAGTCTCTGAAATGAAGCTTGACAGGTCATCAGCTGAACGTGGGAGTGAGTAAAAGGTTTGAGGGTGGGAAGTGTGTGGGATAGTCATCCCAAGGAGGCGAGGGGAGGTCGGCAGGGAAGG